TGGCGTTTTGTAGCATGACATGATGAGCTTCATGCTGGCTTATCAAAGGGTATGTCCTTGTATGATACAGTTGTTGAAAACGAAGGGGCGTTTTGTAACAAGGGAAAACCTCCCCCTATGTCAAGGTTGTTGAAACGAAGGGGCATTTTGTAGCTAAGACTATGTTGGGGAAACATGGAGCTCAGCAACCTCATTCTGTAGCCCCAAGTTTGTGAATTTTTTTTATAACATACAGACCAGGGGTCACAACGTCTCACCTGAAATTCGATGGGGATTTTTATGCGAGAATGTGCAGGAAACATGCCGCGTCCCAAGATTGCGCCGCAGACTTTGTGCGAGCCCGCGCAGTCGAAATGCACATGAACATTTTAGGCGAGAATTTGCAGGAAAAATGCGGCAAAGCAGATGGAGGACGCCAATACAATCGCGGCCTGAGCACTTACCGTAAGAACCCCTCAGTGTGGACACGCTGTTTGGGGGAAACATGTGTTGAAATGTAGGGGATGTCGCAAATTACTTTCATGACGTTGGACACTAGCAAAGCTAAACCAAGCTAAAGAAGTCAACATTGCAATGTGTTGCTGTGTTGTCACCGATGATCCCGCAACAAATCTAGATATCGCATGTTGAGGTTTTAACATGTTATAACTTTTGAAGCTAGCAATGCGAAAGTGGTGAACAGTGCAGCGTGCTGTGATGTGAACTATGATCCTGCAGCAAATCAACGGTCAGCGGGTACATGTTCTTGCCAAGAAGATGCACAGAGAAGAGAAGGTCATGCAGGGGTCGGAAAGAAACGAACGAGATGCAAACACGAAGAGCAAGGGAAAGAGTGCAGCAAACACGAAGAGCAAGGGAAAGAGTGCGAAATCAGCGCAGACATGCTTGGAGGATCTTGGAGGCAAAATGCCGCGGCCCAAGGCCGGGACAGGCGTTTGGTGCGAGCTTGCGCAGTCGAAATGCACATGGACATCTCACAAGAGCAATTCTACGCGAAAATTTAGAGGAAAAATGCGGGGAGCAGATGGAGCACCTTGATCTAAACCCCGGCCTTAACTCCTACCATAAGCCCTTAGTGTGGACACGCCGTTTGGGGAATTAATCAAAATTAATATCCCTGAGCTTCGCTTTTCTTGACCGCCAGGACATTTCAACGTCAGACAACACATCAAGCGCGGCACAAAAAGTTCATGATTGCTCAAAGTATGGGTGGTTTGGCCAAAAATCGATGAGTGGTTTGGGATTCAGTTGCGGTCGCAGTGCGACATCGTAATAGTCGATATCACGGACACTGTAAACTCTGCCTGCTTTTGCCAGGTTGGCTCCAACCCGAGGGAACCTTAGGAAAAAAACGTCTCATTTTTTTCTGGTCCTGTCCTTGGAAGACTGATTCAACCGATTTGTGGTTCAGCTTGCTCACCAGTCCTTTTGGCCTTGAACTTGTGCATCGTCTGCGCCGGCTTCACGCGTTGGTCACCGTCACCGAAGCGTTGTTTTCTCGTGCCGCAAACGGTGTGGCGTTGGAAAATTTATGAAATGCAATGCGACCGTATTTTGTTGCATATTTTTTTCCAACACTTTGAAGGGGCATTCCTGTTTTTGAGACAGGCTCCTTTTGAGATGGAAGGGCTGGCTTACTTAGATTCAGAGAAGAGTGGAAGATATCAGGCCCTGTGAGTGTAGGTTGCTGCCTTGCCTTGCAAAATCCAGATCTTGCACCGATATCATACAGATTTCCAGAACCTTGTCAGAATTCAGGCTGCCAAGCGCAACTTTATATAAATATCTCAGTGCCATTGTGCTGTGTTGTTGGCTGCTGGTTCCACTGGGAGAAGCGTTTTGGGAGTAGATATTTTTCAGCGTAGAAATGAGAGTCCGCGAATGGTAATTATATAGATTTGCTACAGGTCAAGTTGATGGTGTGCCACGCGGTGCAGAACGTTTTGGGTCACGTTTAAGGCAAATAAGAATGGTACAAAATGTTGCAAACCCACATATGAATTCCATGAAAACAGTATACACACATCCAGATAGGTGTCGGTGTGCCATGGTGATATGGATATGGCCATTATGGCACTTTTTCTGATGATGTGATGTAAGCTGCGTGCCATGCGGTGGGGTAACATTATAGGTTGTGGCGTAAGGTACGACCCGTACCTGTCGAAACAAAAAATATCCCGGCAACAAACAGTGTGGGGACGTGGGAGGATAATGTATGACAATGATGATGATGATGATGGTGATGATGATGATGATGAGGATTAAAATGTGGAGAGCGATGATGTAGAGGATGATGTTGCCTGCGATGATGTTTAGGATAATGAGATTAAGGATGATGAAATGTTGAAGATGATGACTTTGTGGAGGATGAGGATGAGGATGAGGATGACAATGCGGAAGAGGAAGTGGAGGATGAAAAGGTGAAGGATGATGATGCTGAGAAGGATGATGATGAGGATGATGCTGATGATGACTATGAGGATGAAGATGACGATGATGATGATCATGATGATGATGATGATGATGATGATGATGATGATGATGATGTTGCGGATAATGATGTTGAGGGTCATGATGTTGAGGATGATGAGGTGCAGGAGGGTGATGTGGAGGATGATGTGGAGGATGATGTGGAGGATGATGTGGAGGATGATGATGTTGAGGAGGATGAGGATGAGGACGAGGATGATGATGTTGAGGAGGATGAGGAGGAGGAGGAGGAGGATGAGAATGCGGAAAATGAAGTGGAGGAGGACAAGGTCGAGGATGATAATCTTGAGAAGCAGGGAGGTGATGTTGATGATGATGATGATGTTGAGGAAGATGATGATGTTGAGAATGATGATGTTGAGGAGGAGGACCGATCCCAAGACCTAGGACCACACCTTGTGCGAGCCTGCGCAATTGAAATGCACTTGAACACTTCACAAGAGCCACTTTATACGGAAATTTACAGGTAAGATGCCGCAGACCAAACCCGCGGACCACACTTTGTGCGAGCCTGCGCAGTCGAAATGCATGCCAACATGTCACAAGAGCCACTTTATACCGGAAATTTACAGGTAAAATGCCGCAGACCAAACCCGCGGACCAATGCGGACCACACTTTGTGCGAGCCTGCGCAGTTGAAATGCATGCCAACATGTCACAAGAGCAACTTTATACGCAAATTTACAGGTAAAATGCCGCAGGCCAAAGCCGTGGCGCATACTTTGTGCAAGGCTGCGCAGTCGAAATGCATTTCAATATTCCACACTAGCCACTTTATACGGACGTTTACAAGCAACATCACAGGAAACATGCTGGGGCCGAGAGTAAGCATCCTGATCAAGCAACGGCCTTTACATTATCCCGGCCAGAGGCTCCAAACAGTGTGAGAGGGTGGGAGGTAATGTATGACAATGTCGATGATATTGATGATGATGATGACGATGATGATGATGATGACGATGATGATGTTGATGCTGTGGCAAACGATGATGTAGAGGAGGATGAGGATGAGGATGATGATGTTGAGGAGGATGAGGATGATGAGGATGAGGATGACAATGCGGAAGAGGAAGTGGAGGATGGAAAGGCGGAGGATGATGATGCTGAGAAGATGATGATGATGATGGTGATGATGATGATGATGAGGATGATGATGATTATGATGATGATGATGATGATGATGGTGGGTGAGGATGACGATGTTGAGGATGATGAGGTGCAGGAGGATGATGTGGAGGATGATGATGTTGAGGAGGATGAGGATGAGCATGATGATGGAGGAGGATGAGGATGAGGATGATAATGCGGAAGATGAAGTGGAGGAGGACAAGGTGGAGGATGATGATGTTGAGAAGGAGGGAGATGATGATGTTGAGGATCATGATGTTGAGGAGGATGATGAAAAGGACGATAATGTTGCGGAAGATGAGGTGGAAGAGGATGATGTTGCGGAAGATGAGGTGGAGGATGATGATGTTGAGGATGATGATGTGAAGGGGGAGGAAGATGATGATGTTGAGAATGATGATGTTGAGGAGGAGGACCGACCCCAAGACCTAGGACCACACCTTGTGCGAGCCTGCGCAATTGAAATGCACTTGAACACTTCACAAGAGCCACTTTATACGGAAATTTACAGGTAAGATGCCGCAGACCAAACCCGCGGACCACACTTTGTGCGAGCCTGCGCAGTCGAAATGCATGCCAACATGTCACAAGAGCCACTTCACACAGAAATTGACAGGAAAAATGCCGGGGCCCAGAGTGAGCACCCTGATCTAGCACCCCGCAGTGTGGACACACTGTTTGCGGAACTTACTGTAAGAACCCCTCAGTGTGGACACGCTGCTTGAAGAATTCCAGTTCGGACATGCTGCAAACAAATCTGTGCAAATCAAAGTTTAATCCCACAACGCCGCAAGTATCTTAGAAATGGGAAAGAACCAACTATGAAATGAAATATTGCAAATACGTTGGGAACAAAAAATCTTTGCCGAAAACTGCGAACGACAGTTTGGCCCCAAAATGCCAAAATGCTGAACGCACCGAGGAACGATTTTTTTGTTTTAAATTCTAAAAAATATTGTTTCTGGTCCGACATGATCCGATTGCTGCGTTCCAAAAAGATCCGGTTTCTGTGGTCCAAATTGGCCTCTTTGCCCGTGAGATATCTTGCTTTTGAATTTGCACACTCTTGGGGTTTGAGCCGCCCAACAACTACTTGGGGGGGGATTTAACAATTGTCGATTGCAGTTTGCAATGTTCAAATTGGACATGTTTGTGCTTTTGACATGCAAATGGCCAGTGCCCAGGAATGGATTTTGAACTGTTTGTTGGAATATGACCTGTGCCCGTGTCATATTGGACCGACAAACCCAAACCGCAACATTGTGATTTGGCTCTAAGGATGATAGTAGGCCATACATGGAAAAAAAAACAACATTTTGATTGATCCAAAAAATTGCAACCAACAAAAACTCCATTGTTTTCTTGCATGCTTCCCGGCCATGTGTTGATGATGCGTCCGTGCATGCAGTGTTGATTTGAGGCGAGTGGAACTATATTTTTCATTCGGAGTGATTGACAGAATTAAGATAATTAAGGGTGACGGGCACGGACACACAAAGGGAGACGCATGTTTGGATGACTGGTGATGACAGGTGAAAATTTGACCTGGCCGATGCGGCATGTTTGATCTTTGTCCACACCATGATGCCACCAGGCTGGGTGTCAGCTCAATGAGTTAGGTTCAAGGTTTTTGACACAAATATCATTGGGTTTGAGGTTGCCATATCCACTCCCGCTACACCAAACTCAACATTGACATTTCCACCACGCATCTCTTTTCACACCTGACCCGGTGGCGCAGTCAGCAGCAACCAACATGGACCATGGAAATACATGCAAAACTCAGAAATAAATATGAAACGCAAGCAAACAAACAAAACATATGAACTGGGTGAATTGGCAAGCCTGCCAAACAACCTCATCCCTGTTCATTCTGTTCATCCTGTTCATCCTGTTCATTTTGTTCATTTTGTTCATTCTGTTCATCGTGTTCATCTTGCCCATCATGTTCATCATCTTCATCATGTTCATCGTTATCAGTTTTTACCGTCACCATCACCATCACTATGAACTTCGCCATCATCATCATCATCATCATCATCATCATCATCATCATCATCATCATCATCATCATCCTCATTGTCATTCTCATTCTCATCGCCATCGCCATCGCCATCGTCATTGTCATCGTCATCATTATCGTTATCGTCATCAACACCACTTTCGTGAGACGAAAACACCACAGCAATCCTGCAATGTAGGATGATAAGTTCCTTCCTGCGTGTGCAGCTTTGGAAAGTACCCACATAGGTGGTGCATTACTAGGTTTAACATTTGATGGGGTCGCCTAAGCAGTTTTGTCAGTTTGTAGTTTACCATGCGAAGGGTGTGACAGACGTCCATGAAGCGCAGCACTACACACAGAGATGCAGCACACTAAGCTGCCTTCATGTTCTTTTCCCAGGGAGGTGGGACTTGTATCATGCTTTTATATATTTGTTCTGTGGTCCGAACTCTCACATCCACACTCTGGCATCAACATTTCTAGCATGTTGTGTTGTTGCCTCTTAGTTTTCCTAGCTTGCAATTTACAGCCATGCCTACAGTTTGGTGTGTCTTTTGTGGTGGATAGTTTCCCGATTGTGTGCGAAGTCTGCATGTGTTAACCATTGCTTTTGCGTAAGAAATGTTTGACACAATGGATACGTAAAGCAAAACATATTAAACTGAACCAAATGAGTCAACAGTTTTTGGGTTTCTGGGGTGTATGCTGATGTACAGTTCTTGTTCTGAGTTCTGGTCTTGCAGGTACTTCATGCTCCAGCCAGCGGCCAACGAGTTCAATCATTGCAACGACTGCCCTTCAGGATATACCTGGACAATGCGTAGCGCGGGCGATATCTTTCCTGGGAGGAGAGCCCGATAAACTCACAGAATGGTTGGCGCTTAGAACCACCAAGATCGCCTTGTGGCGTCAAGGTGTTGATGAACCAGATGTACTTGCAGCTACTGCGGAAGTTAGATTCTTGGGCGGTGAAGAGTCAAGGCACTCACCTCACGCTCGCTACGTAACGCAACTCCTTGCACAAATTGCTTGGGAGGTCGATCTCCTCGAGGATTTGGCACCAAAAGCAGCGTCTACAGTATCAAAACCACAGTTAGTCGAGGACACACCATCCATGACAGTTCGACCATCAAACAAGACGTCTACACAATCTAGAAGGCCAGCATCTGCAGGTCGACCTGCCAAGAACCCAGGCGGCCCAAGCAACCTGGACAGGGAGGCCATTGTCCTTGAGCGTTGGGAGAAGAAACTTGCTTTTGCTTTCCACTTGAAAGCTCAACGCAACAAGGAGGTTGAGATAAAAGCACGAGAACAGAATTCCAAGATAGAAGCTGTGAGAAAGATGCATGCCAAACTCTTGAAAGAGAGTGAAGAACTTCAATACAATAAATGGCAAGGACGAACCAAAGATCATGACGACAAAATTGCCAGGAGCAGGTGTGCGAAGCGAGAGATATGTGAGCTGATGATGAATGCTGCTGCTGCCCGCCAAGCTGTCCTGGAAACAAACCGTAGACGGATATTGCAGGAGCAGGCAGAGCGACAGGCAAAACGCATGGAGCAGGAAACTGAGAGGCGCCTGTTGGGCCGTTTCGACTTTTTTGTTTCCACTGTCCTGCAGTTCTCTTTGCATTTCTATATAAAACCTTCCATCTTGCCGACTTACCCAAATTTTGTGAACTGATACTTGAGGTGCTTTCCAGCAATCAAGGGACAATTGCTTTCCAGCAAGAGACAATTGTTTCCTTTCTGGCACATGTCTAATTCGTATTCTGGCGATTGCAAGGCAGACCAATGCTGAGAAGAAGAGGCAGGACGTGAGAACTGAAAGATGCGTCGGCAAGCCACGTTTGCGGGTAGCACGCGAAATTTCTCGGAAACAAGCTCTGCGTTTGGAAAGTGTCTTGGCTTTATGTTGTTTCAACTTCACTTGTGTCGCAGAGAGTCGTGTAGAGAAGAGTGCTATGGTTGACTAAGGGATTCGTTCTATGGAGCGAGAAGATTTGCGGCAGAGACTGCAGTCCAGGTCTCCTACAGCGACTCCTTCTCCACCCAGAAGCCGACCAAGCAGTGCAAGAGCCCAAGGTGGCCTAAGCGGCCCAAGTGGCAGTGGTTTTGTTCCCATGCCTCCAAGCCGGCCAGCATCAGCTCGGAGACCTCATCGGGAGATTTCAGAAGGCCCTTTGGGGCCTTCAGGAGCAGTGCCGGATCCATCTTGCATCCCTTTGCCCCGTTATGTGCGGCGCCGGCCAAATCCGAAGCCTCAAAGCGAGATGAAAGGCCCACAAGGTCCACAAGGTCCACAAGGCCCGCAAGGTCCACAGCCAAGAAGACCAAGTCCTGAAAGACTGAGACCCGGTTGCAGATCAGCACCTGCGGGAATTGCGGTTGCACGCGGGCAAGCGGTGTACGATGAAAATACCATAGATCCTCTTGGGCTCTTTCCTATGCGTGGGCTTCGATGCGCCTCGTGCTCAGTGAACTGATATTGGGATGTTTAAATTTCAATGCCCTGCGTGTTGAGCTTTGTTCTTTAAACCAAGCCTTTGGACTTTGTTTTGAACAAGGTCGACGGCGACACCGTCCTGGAAATCAACACGTTGGATGTTGCAGACTGCTTTCGCGACTTGGTTTGTTGGGCATGGGAGGATGGCTCAACGCAAGAACATGGAGTAGGGACGACCTTTCTAACCGCCTTGGGCTGCGGCAAGGCACCGGTGCAGTCTGCGCACATTTTTTGTAGATGCTGCTTCAGGGTCCACTGGCTGTAGGCTTTGTCCAAGCTGTCCACGTCTCAGCATTTTTTCATTCTGGCAATTCAATCCAACACTTTCAGCATGTTAGCATCCTGCCTCAATATTTGTTAGGTTTTCTTGATGATGTTGAGTGCCATATTTTATGTTGTTGCACAGTCTTTACCTATGTCTTAGCATTTCACCTCTTCTTACTGTGTGGCAATGGCTCAAGAAATAAGCAGTGCGTATTCGTGGTTTGTAGTGGCTGTTACCGTATTTCTACAGGTTATCAGCCGTATCGCCAAAGGTGATTTGGCTGGTTTCCTTCGTCTCACACTTTTCGCTGTCCCTCCCATCTTCGCCATGTCTACACCCCCAGCGTTACCTGCCCCGGGTTACTTGGATAAAGAGTTTGACCCATGCCGTCAAGATCCACGCAGGAACATGCCAGGTGTCTTGGACTCAAACATTGACATCAGTCAGCTCAATACCATCAACTTTAACAGTGTTGATCAGCGTACCGCCAATGTGGCAGTGGTACAACAGGGTATTGATCCGAACCTGGCGAACCAACTTATGGCTGCTCAGCAGCAGGCATTGCAGAGTGAGGCAAATGTGCGCCACTCTGAGGTCATGGAACGTCAACGTATGGAGCTTGTGAGTGAAGCTCGAGATCAACTTGCAAGCGTCGAACAACAAGCAGCCGAAGAAATTTCCAGGAGAAACCTTTTGTTGAACGAGCAGGCCGCCCAGGCGATGAGTGAGCAGAAATCTGCTCAACTGCAGGTCACAGCGCAGGATCATCGCATCAGGGAACTGAGTGCCGAACTGACTCATGTGGTCAACAATGCAGGTGTCTTGACATCGTCTGCGGAGAAGTCCAATGCTGATCTGCAGGCAGCACGTTCAGAACTTGCCGAGTACCGCACTCAGATTGATGCAATGAATCAACACGCTTTGAACATGCAGAAGTTGGCCGAGTCTCAGAAGAAGGACTTCGAGGCGGAGATTGAGAAGCTTCGGAAGGAGCAGAGAGAGCTCATCCGGAATCTAAAGTCTCAACCTCTGGAGGGAACTCCTGGACTCATGATCCATTATGGTCCCGGAAAACCCATTCCACAATCCTCGAAGCCCAAGGGTCCAACCATTGAGGAGTTAGCTTCGGGAAGCAAGAAGCCTCAGCATACATCAGATGCTGACGATGAGCATTTTCAGGCAGAACCTTCGAAGCCACCGGGACTTCCCGGCGGTGGACCTCCAGGAGATGACGATGGTGATGATGACTATGACGACAAGAGAGGTCGCAAGGACAAGAAAGACAAGAAGAAGGATCGCAAGGCTAGTCGTGGCCGATCGAGACGACGACGACGAAGAGATCCTTCATCCTCACCTTCATCATCAACATCCCCTACGACGTCAAGTTCGGATTCTGAGAGTTCCTTTGCACGAAAGGTCAAAAGGGCCTTAGAGCGTTCTAGGAATACTGATACTAAGGTCAAAGAGTCTGATAGGATCCTAGTACCTAAGTTCCCTCAACCCGAAAATTATAGGAATTGGAGAAGGAGGGCTAATTATTTTAGGATTTTTTTTTGATCAGGTTTAGGAATTATTTTAGGATTTTTTTTTGATCAGGTTTAGGAATTATTTTTGGATTCCTGCTTTTCCTGCTTTTCCTGCTTTTCCTGCTTTTCCTGCTTTTCCTGCTTTTCCTGCTTTTCCTGCTTTTCCTGCTTTTCCTGCTTTTCCTGCTTTTCCTGCTTCTCTGCTTTTCTGCTTTTTTGCTTTTCTGCTTCTCCTGCTTCTCTGCTTCTCTGCTTTTCTGCTTTTTTGCTTTTCTGCTTCTCCTGCTTCTCTGCTTCTCTGCTTTTCTGCTTTTTTGCTTTTGTGCGTTTCCTGTTTCTTTGCTTCTCTGCTTTTTTGCTTCTCTGCTTTTTTTTGCTTTGCCTGCTTTAAATACTTGATTTTCATGTAAGATGCATTTTGCACAGTATTTACATCCCTGAGTATCACATGACCAACCTTCCCTTGAAAACTGGCAACGTAACATGTGAGAAGAGGTGCTTGCATTCTGCTTTGGGGGGAGGCGCCGCGCCCTCCCCCCAATCCCCCCTCCCGCTTTTTTTTAATTTAAACTTAAACCCAAGTTACATTAGTTGGTTTTTGCGAACTAACCTTCTCTGTAAAGCTGACAGGATTACATGTGATAGATAGATAGATAGATAGATAGATAGATAGATAGATAGATATAGCTGATAGATAGCTTGGTAGATAGATAGCTAGATAGATAGATAGCCAGCTAGATAGATAGATAGCTAGAGAGATAGATAGCTAGATACCTCGATAGATAGATGGCTAGATAGATAGCTAGATAGATAGATGGCTAGATAGATAGCTAGATAGATAGATAGATAGCTAGCTAGATAGATAAAGAGGTAGCTAGATAGATAGCTAGATAGATAGATAGATAGCTAAATAGATAGATAGATAGATAGATAGATAGACAGATAGATAGATAGATAGCTCGATAGCTAGATAGCTGGATAGACAGCTGGATGGCTAGATAGATAGATGATAGCTAGATAGATAGCTCGATAGCTAGATAGCTGGATAGACAGCTGGATGGCTAGATAGATAGATAGCTAGATAGATAGAAAGCTAGATAGCTAGATAGCTAGATAGATAGTTAGCTAGATAGCTCGATAGCTAGATAGCTGGATAGACAGCTGGATGGCTAGATAGATAGATAGCTAGATAGATAGAAAGGTAGATAGCTAGATAGATAGTTAGCTAGATAGCTAGATAGGTAGATGGATAGCAAGATAGCTAGCTAGCTTGCTAGATAGATAGCTAGATAGATAGATAGCTTGCTAGATAGATAGCTAGCTTGCTAGATAGATAGCTAGCTAGATAACTAGATAGCTAGCTAGCTGGATAGATAGCTAGCGCCCTCCCTCAATCCCCCCCATCCGTTTTTTATTTAATCCCAAGCTTCCGCATCTGTAAATATTTGGGTGAACATGCTCACATGTAGAACATCCCATGCAAAATGGAACGTGAACATGCCAAAATGTGGCAAATACCATACAAAATGGAAGGTGAACATGCCCACATGTAGGAAATCCCATGCAAAATGGAAGGTGAACATGCCAAAATGTGGCAAATACCATACAAAATGGAAGGTGAACATGCCCACATGTAGTAAATCCCATGCAAAATGGAAGGTGAACATGCCCAAATGTGGCAAATACCATGCAAAATGACAAATTCAAGTTCCAAACCGTTGCAAACACTAGGCAAATGGTACCAGCCAAGAAATCCAAAAAAAAATCCCAAACCTGTTCAAAAAAAAAATCCTAAAACTATTTCACACCCATTGGAGAATCCGAGTAAGGGATGCCATAATTGCTGCTTCTGCTAAACCCGACCTAGCCTTTCAGTGGGTAGAAGAAGTGTTCAGGACAGATCAGTCTGTCGATGCCTTGAAGGACTCAGGTAAATTCGTGACCCTGGACGCAAAGCTCATGTCTTCGCTCACCAACATCTGCGAAGGGGACTTTGCACGGCAACTTGACATCTTTAAAGAAGAACAAGCCAAGTCAGGGACACCAGCTAGGGGACGTCAAGCATTGCTCATGATTCATAAACACTTCAGTACAAGTAGAAAGCATGGTGCAGTGTATGACATTGAGGACCTCATGGCTGTTACCTTAGTCAATGATGATCTCAGAGGTTTCATCACTCGATGGGATGCTGTGATCGCTGGAATGACTTCCGAGCCTGACATGATGTGGAAGCAAGCCTACTTTCACAACGCCATCAAGAACTTCAAGCCTCTCTCTCATGATCTGGCTGTGTATGATCGCACACCGGAGGGGGAACCCAACCGCTCTTATGATTTTCTCATGAAAGCTGCAAGGGACTACCTTGAGAGGAGACGTCTTGAGAAGATGCGCCAGGCTACCAAGAAGTCCGTTTCAGGCAAAAGAGATGCAACGCCAGCACCCACGAGGCCGCCATCCGCGGGAAAGCCCACTGGCATTTGCTACGACTTCCAGGCTGGCAAGTGTACCAGGGGAAAGGATTGCCGATATAAACATGAAAAGGCAGACAAAGGAAAAGGCGGAGGTAAGAAAGGCAAGTCTAGGTCCAAGTCAAGGGGCGATGGTCGATCTTTGTCTCCAGGATCTAGGAACCAAGTGTGTAAGTTTTGGAAGGCAGGTAAGTGTCAACGAGGTAATGACTGTGCTTTCCAACACCCACCGAAGCCTGCAGCTGCATCTGCCAAAGATGACAAGCGTGGAAAGAGCCAGAAAAAGAAGAAGAAGAATAAGAAGAAGGGCGATCGCTCTAGATCGTCAAGCCGAGGTTCCAATTCCTCGAGAGGCTCACAGAGTCTCAAGGACAAAGGGGGAAAACCATCTTCCTCTGGCTCAGCTGCAGTTTGCCTGATGCGCGCTCTGATGATGGTCGCAGTCGTCAACCCTTCGACCAGCACTCATCGCGTGCCGGAAGGCATCGCCTCTCCGCATTGTTTCAACCAGCATTTTGCCATGCCAGTTACACCCAATCGCACTGTTTCATTTGGGGGCGACGATGAAATCTTCGAAGTTCCCATTGAGCAAAATTGTAATTTGCATCCGTGCCAAGCCAAACAACGAACTTTCAATCCAGTTCGCATCACCAAGGACGATCGTACTCGTAAAGATACGATCGAAGCACGAGAAAGTGATGCAATACTTGCAGCACAGATGTTGCAGTCAGCTGTCTTTCGGGAGTTGCATGGTAAACTTTGCAAATGCAGCTTTGAATGTGACAGTGATATCGGCTGTCGCCACTGCATCCGTTCCGATTTGAACGCATTGCCAGGACACATGCCTTCTCAGCAGCGTAATGCATCCGCTGAAATCGCATGGATCGCTGACACCGGTAGTGCCCAGGACTTAGTTTGCAGCAAGATGATTCCCGATGACATTGTG